GGGGGGGGGGGGGGGGGGGGGGGGGGGGGGGGGGGGGGGGGGGGGGGGGGGGGGGGGGGGGGGGGGGGGGGGGGGGGGGGGGGGGGGGGGGATGGATGGATTAGCTGAACCCTACTCCCTCACGTTAATCCCTGACCATCATCTTCCCTACTCGGACACCTCAAACGCAATCTCTTCAAGCGAAGAGACGAGACCCGTAGGTAGGTTGCATGAGGTATCACAACCCCCGAACCGATTTTCAAACTCGATTTATCAACGACGACCAAATGAATGCAAGATACAACACCCCGCAAACCGATTTCCAAGCGTGATTACTACAGAGGATAACCAAAAAAAAAAATGACGCGTAACCGGGAAAGAAAACTCTCGACGGCGGCATTGGCGCCGTCTCCGCTTCAAGTACCCGGGCTTTGAAAATCATTGGTCCAGGGTGCGTGGTATCTTCTTACGCAACGTAAGGAAATACTGCAAAATCGTCGGTCCAGGGTGTATGGTATCTTACGCAATGTACACGGAAATACCGCAAAATCGTCGGTCCAGGGTGTATGGTATCTTACTCAACCTGCGATAGGATAGTACCGCGAGCCATCACAACGACGGAATAAAAACAAAACGCACGCTCGTACCTGCGCAAACGCGTCGTATGTGAGGTCGGAGTAGTGAACTCCGTCGTACGACTCCATCCGCTGACCGGTGGTGAGCTTGACGCCTGCCGCGGGGGCCGCGTACACGTGCATGGGGTCGTGTGGGAGACAGATGAGAGAGGTACGCATACGGAGAGACAGACAGACAGACAGACAGACAGACAGACAGACAGACAGACAGAGACAGACAGACAGACAGAGACAGACAGACAGACAGAGACAGACAGACAGAAAGAGAGAGAGACGGACGAGGTTCGTCTTGAGGTTGCAGTCGACGCGAAGCCGGTACTCTGGCGGTAGATATGTATGGCTTCATTTTTTCCTCATCTTGTTGCACTAGTGGGCCCTGTATGTTGTTGTCGTTTTTCTTCACATTAAACTCGTGTCAGTTGCTAATCCCAAAGTCTAGCCAAAGACTCGGCCCGTGGTCACAAAAATGCTAGAGCCATCAGAAGATCTGAAGAACACACACACTATTTACCAAGAAAAGGGTACACAAGCCCGAGGAGGTACACCTACAATCCCTGCAGCACGTTTGTATGCTCACAACCGAACTGCACGCCCACACACTACAATTCGACTACAGCAGCAGCATCACTCCCCTTGTCCCGCATTGAACCAAAATGAATGGTTGTCGACTACAGCGTACTGCTGTCTGAAGTGCTGTCTGTACAATTTTAACACCATGGCACGTGGTACACAAGCTCGGGGCATGCAGCTACTAAGTGCTGTCAGAATGAGTCCGTGGACATACAATGAAGAAGAACACCCAACCAAAGCCATCAATGCAACAATTGACAATCACCCGAATCTATCCAGATCATCTGTGTAAGGCACAGCAATGTAAACATCAACACTGACTAGGAATCGTTCCACATTGAAGGGGTCTTCCACGATGCAGGTACACAATTAAGGCACCCGGTTTATCCGCGCCATCTCTGCCGCGTCTCTCTACAAAACCAGTGACGTCATCACACACACCCAACGCCTATATTCAGGAAAAAAAACGGAAAAAGAATTGACAACACATGAGATGTTTGTCCGTGCGCCACGATTCGATGCCGTCCGCATGCTCCGGTTCCGCTGCTCCGGTGCTGCTGTGGCCAGTCCTGGCACGACCAAACTCGACCCGCTCCGCTTTGTACACGCTCTCGTTGCTGTCCTTCCCAAGCGGTTCCTCGCTTTCTCCCTCGTTGCACCTAGGGTTCTTGGTCTGAAAGTTCTCGCGCCCAAGGGTCAACCAGCCCAATCAGCTCGTCACCACCTGTGCCCTCCTCCTTTGATGACAAAACCAGGTTACTGAGACAGTAAGTACAGCTCCCTCTAGCAAACCTAGGGCCGTGTACATAGTGCCCGTCCACCTTTCTGATGATGTCTGCCTCGGCGCACAAAGATGAGATGGGCATTGCTGCCTACACCGACGGCCCGGAGGCCCACGCATCTGCACCTTTGTACCTGACGCACCAGTGCCGACCCAACTCCACCACTACGCACGCCTCGCGGCGGGTGCGCCGCAGCAAGAATGTATCGGTCCCTTGAGGGTGAGTCTAGCCCTGCTCGCTAGAAAGACCCCCCCCCTCGCTACGGGTCATGCCTACGCAAAACCTTCCCCAGGCAGCGAGGGGAATAAGGGGAAGTTATATATGTATGTATAGTGCCGGCCGAATAGTGCCGAGTGCCTCGTATATTGCTGGTGTTTTCGGCTCGTGCACACTGAAAAACCAAGTCATTCTGTTCTTTGAACAGAGCCGGTGTCCAGGATGGCGCTGGTAAAACCTCTGGACGCATGCCGGCACGAGAAAGGCTCACGAATGTTTTTGTTTTTTTTTCTCCCATCATTGGATTCTGTCGTCTGCCCCTCTGGCCCCTATCCTCCACTTCTACCAGCTAGACGACCCAACCGGGGTCACATAGGAGGGGGGTGGTTGGACCCCCTCCTGCGGTCCCTGCCTGAGATATTTTTATCGCGAGAAGGTACAGCAATCCCTTCCCTCGCGACTTATGAAGTCGATCAAGTTTACAAACAACGAGCTTTACAGCGCGTCACTTCCAACGGAGATGTATGTATTGGTATCTTGTTTTTTGTTGGTGAGAAACGACCGTAGTGGACAGCAGCAGCTGGCGAGCGACAAGCGGACCACAACTGTCGCCAAAGCCTCCCCTTACCGTCAATGACGCCGTCCACGTCGTGGAAGATCCCGCTCGACTCCACGATGCCCCTGTATGCCGCGAGCTTGGGCTCTGTGAGCCACTCTCTCTTCTTGTCGTCCAACAAGCGCTCGTTGATCACCTTTGTCATGCTCACCCACATCTGTCGTTGTTTTTGATTAGAAATGTTAATAGGAAGAAAGAACGGGGGCGTAAAGAGAAGGACAAATTCTAATGTTTTTTATTTAATACGAAAAAAAAATGTCTTTCTTGGCGGAGGAGGTGGCGACTGAACAAGTACAGGGAGTTAAATTTTGCATCTGGTGCCAGTACGGGGAAGTGCTGGCTGCGTGTGCTTTGTGCGTGTAGAGATAAACAGAAGAGACAGATATCTATGCAGAGAGGGGGAGAGAGAAACAAAATAAAAGAGAAAGCTGGAGGAAAGAGCATTTTTCCTCACCACAGTCGGCACGACACCCTTGTCGGAGGGAGTTCGGGCAATAACCTTGTCATGCACGCTGCTGATGCCGCTCCGGTAACCTAAAAAAAAACGCAAACATGGCGCGCAGAAAATTGGAACCAGGGGCGACATGTTGTCAAAAGCGTACGGGAGCACGGGGCGCAGGGGGGCGGGGGGGGGGGGGGGGGGGGGGG